GTAGTTATTGATATTTCGAAATATATAACGCATTGCATTACCTCATAAGAAGTACCTCAAAATGATAAGAATATTTTCATAAAATATATTCTATTGTCTTTACGACCAATATTATAGCTACCGGTGACAATGGCATCGGTGGTCTAGTGGTTTAGCACACTGCTTTATATCTGATGGTCGCGAATTCTATTCTTCGCCTGGTGGAAACATTTATTTTTACAAGTACGATTGTTTGCATCTGTCTGTATGTATTGACAAAAATGCATCTAAGAATTTATTTATACCTGTTAACAAATACACATAACACAAGCTCTGATTAGCTACTGTGTGACCAGGATTATTATAATTATTATTTTTACTTATACTTATTATTATTATGTCTATGTTCGAGAGTTCTAAGAGTGTAAACCAATCAGTTATAACGCAGCTTATTTTGAGGGACAACTGCGTTTTGTATGAACAATTCTTCTATAACAATCATATGAAAACTACGCTATTATTCTGTACCAAAAATACTTTATTCAGAAATTCGGAGAGAATAAGATAATCGAAAGAATCAAAATGTTTTTAAAATCTGAAATATACATTAACTTAAATCTAATTGAGACTTAAATTACTGAAATAATTATCAACCCTTCCATAAGAACATAGTCTAGAAACTTGATAACCTACACATATTTTCATGTATTTTCTAATAAAGGTGTATTTTATTGTTATAATATGTTATAATGCGCAAACGAGAAACACTAAAGAAGTTATTATAAACTGTTATATTGAGTACTACACTCCTCATCAGGGAACTTCCTAGACGATGTACTAAGAGTTATATTGTACAACTCTTAGTACATCGTCTAGGAAGTGTATTCTTTATTATATATATTTTCTTATCTTTAACTTATTTAATAAAATAATAAACATGTAATAGTAGTAATAGTTTTACACAAGGTTTTAATTTTTATAATACAGTTTTAAAATTTTGCTCTATAGGGAAAGGAAGAAGTAGGAAGTTTGTTTAGTTTGTATACAGTAGTAATATAATTATTGCTCTATCGACGTCTGTGGAAAGTGAATATTGTCTATAAACTTCTTATATGTGAAATTTTGCTAAGTTTTAATCACATGCCGAAAAATAATAATCTAATAACAATTCACACAGCGCCATCTAGACCCGAGTTAAGCTATCTAAAGCTTGTTTTACGGGTACTAGTAACTGATACAAGTACATAGATATTTATTTTTTTTCGTAAATACATACATAATATACATAGAAAATACCCAGACCAACACAAACAATCATACTCATGAATACAAATGTTTGTGCCGTGCGAGGAATCGAACCCGCGACCATCGGACGTAAAGCGGTGTGCTAGACCGCTAGACCACCGAGGTCGTCAAATGTAAGAATAAAATCAACATTCCTTCGCTAGTTGTTCACAAGTAGTTGTAATGTGTATATTAGCATATGATTGTGAACATCCTTAGTTTATAATCTAACTACTACACTGAACTATTAACAATATGAAGAATTACTTTTCAATAGCTCATAATATATATCAAACTGTTGAATTGTAAACGACCTTGCACTTATCGTACATTCACATTTGTCTAAATTTATCACTCTCTAAAATATGAGTCGTCCACGATTTTGGCCCTTGGGGTGATATAAATTATAATATGATTTAATTTAAAAAATACCTTTATATGTATTATCATTATATATAATATTATTTATTTCTAAAGACCCATGTCAAAGATATAATTTCCTTTTATATAAAGTCACAGATAATTTTGGAGCAGTTGTTGCCGTACGGTGAAAAATATTTATGACCTTTATTGGCTACCGTTTACTTAATACTTAAATAGACTTAATACATAATTAGATATTTACATTATGCATTAAAAAACAAGTATAAAAATAAATATAAGGAAGTAATATCTTCTTCTTTCTTAAGAGGGAATTTTAATTTGCAAAGTTTCTTTGAAAGGTACGTCATCAACAGTTATTCATGACTACTATATTTGTTCTATTTAATTGCCTGAGGATAGTACGCTTCTTTATCATATCTAATAACCATTTTATCTATTTGCATTATTAAAGTAAAAGTAAGTGTATTAGCTATTTAAAAACTGGGAGCTACCTCCCAGTTTTCTATTCTACAATGGCGATGAGATTATTAAGATTGCAGCAAGCGTTACGAACGGATGTGTGGAAAAGATTTTGTAAAATACTGTTGAAAATATAAGAAAAGTGATTATCAACTGGAAGTATTGTTTTATTTATAATGTTATCCTGTTAATATTATGTAAATCCATTAAAATACCATAATCCATACCTATTAAGCTGACAGGTAAGTATTGTAATAATTTTATTTCGATAAGAATTATTAGAACGTTTATTTTTATAAACATCACGGAATAACGTGACACTTTGATAATATGATTTTCTTTGTATTAGAGAAAGATTTTCTCAAGAGATATGCATACCACCTGTAATGGATTACCTTTCAATTTCATGGAAAATCAGCTACTACTTCAAGAGCAATATGTAATATTCAGTTTTATAATAAAAATATAATTTGTCATTGTCATATACATTATTGTCTTTATGTCTATAATTTATCACAGTAAAATTTTAAATTATTGTATAATTTTGTATACAAAGCATAATAATACCTATCTTTATCCATTTCTTTTTTTTTTCAATTAAATAGCTTATCTTCACTCCCCGAAATATTTTTTATTGTCAATGGCATGCAATGCCGCCCTATTCTTCACCCTCGCCCGCAGGGGAGCTTATTTTGTTTATTCTATACTAGTATATCGGCTAATATTACTATAAAATATTCTTAAGGGAGATTGCCAATGCACCACCGCGGCATTTGTAGCAGTAAACCAGGGGATTACGTAAATTCTCTAATCAATATTTTAATATTTGGTCTTTTGTGTTACCTTTAATTACTATAACATTACTTATTAATATACTAAGAGACTTATCCTGACCATCTAACTGGCTAATATATTAGCGGCAAATCTAGACTCAGACTCAGACTACTAAGAAAAGAAATTTTATTACGTCATCAACAAAACATTGCCTGAAATACCCACAGAAGCAGAAGATAAAAATTGTCTGAGCATATACGTATACCTAATATATTTTGCCTAATCATTAAAACAGTCGATTTAATAATTACTTCTAATTAAACATATACCTACTGTATAAAACCTAAAATATTCAGGAACTAACTTTGCTCGACTACATATTTTTACAAGCCCTTTTTAAGAATAACAGAAACCTACAGCTAAAATTTAAATATAAAACATTTTTAAACTACAAATTTACAATGAAATCCTTTTATCTCTTTTTAAGATAATGTACATATCATATCTATGAATCGTTCATTTCATTTTATTTTATCAATTTCTCTTTAGAGTTATTACAAAGTAAAACTAAGCGCCTTACATACAGTTGTTATGAGGACTCAAACCTATCTCTACTCTCTTTTTTTCTTATGTTTAATTTTCTACTACACATCGAAAATCGCTCGATATTCAATTGTCAAGAATCATAACAAAACATAATGCTTGGAAACACGTCTTATTTTAGAGTTATTATTGAGGCATCTTTTGCCTAATACTGAATTCCACGTATCAGTAATCCGATAACTTGAAACTTTTCCGATAAATATAATTGCGTTTAAAAATTATATACTTTTTCTGTTACAGCTTTCTAATGGGGGCTTGATAAACGTTCGTGTCTATACAACTATTTTATGAAAATATAATACTGTAATAATTCTACAATAATGATGTTTTTAAAAATTAAGTTCATTGTTACTGGGGCTTATAAAGGATTTTTATTTTATTTATGAAGGAAAGTGTAGCTACAATGAAAAAAATCTAATCGTAAATTATTGAAAATAAGTAATTTCGAAAGAAGTTAAAGCAATTCTCGTATAAGTTCTAGCAACTAAATTAGACTCCTTTTTAAAGAGATATAAATCAAACGTACACGAGGCATATTTTGTGCGTTTAAAAAATGTTGTCTATGTTAGTTTGTGAAATATATAATAGCTTTTACAAATTTAATAGCTTCAAAATTTTTGATTTAAGAATTCTAGTTCAGAGAACGGTACATTGGAATCACCTTCAATATAAATTCCATAATTTTTAGAAGGTATAATGGTACTTTATATTGGTGTTTTGTATTTGTGTTCTTATGAAGAAGCAGAAAGGTAAAAGTAAATAAAGAGATCAGTCGTGACTATTTAAATATATTATAAATATACTTAAAAGGATGGTAGATATCTAAGATAACTACCATAGCAAGCAAGAAAGAGAACGAATTCCGAATAATAATCTTGTTATTTTTTAACTTATCATTGGAACTTGGTCCCGGGATGTAAGTATATTCTATACATTGTTATCAATATTTATAACAACTGCCGCCTATTGGACTTATAGCAAAAGATCATTATGTCAATACGTGAAGAAAATTTTTGTACCCCTTTTTATGAAAATTGGGTGGAAGGAGAATGAAGTTTCGCACGATTATAGTTTATATAGAGAAGGCGTACAGAAAGCCAATATATTTTTTTAATTATAAAATGTATAAGTATACATTATATTAATAAAAACAATGTTAGACATACTTTGTTACAGTCTGTGATCTAATTGGTATTAGATTATTATTATTTATCTCTACTATTATTGTTTGTATTAGTGTATTATTATTAAGGCTATATCTTACTGAATGTCAAACATAACTATTTTATATAATAAATTTATTTATTACAATATATATTTTTCATGTTAATTATTGCTGAAATATAGCTCAATCAAAAACAAAATAAAGATCGGAAAAAAATAATATAAAAAGAAAGTTAGTATAGTAATAATGTGAATTAAAACTTAATAATGTTCAAACTTATAATTCAAAGTCATCCCATCCAGTCAGCCCTCTAGTTTGATAAAATAATGACATTAATTGTGACATAAACCTATGGCACAAACAGTCAAAGTACTCAAGTTTTAATTTTGTAAAAATTATAATATTTTCTGTAAATATGTCACTGAAAAAAAATATGAAAGGTTTACCATTAGATGTACTGAGTGCAGAAGGTCTACTGTCCCATAATTGGACAGCACTGACTGCAAATCAACGAGAATGCACTGCAAGGATTGGCATGACCATGCAAATGGAGCAAGAGGCTTACTTAATCGAACACCCTGAAGTAATTAAAAACATATTTAATTCTTATGTTGTTCATGTATAGAACGAAGAGAAAATATGTTTTGTTGTTGTTTTTTTAATAATGTGAAGGAAATCTTTTAATGTATTTACCTTATTATCACCTATATTTCGTAATATAACAACAGGCTATAATATAGTCATTATATACTATATATGATTTACCAAAATTCCAAATATATTTATAGAAGATAATAATTTTATTTTTAGTTGTATTTATTTATTCTTAATATTATTGTTATTCACGTCTATTAAACGTTTTATTTACCAGGTGAGGGCAATGATGGAAATTTTTGTTAGCAAAATGGCATGTCTTCGAAAAAGGAAAGATGTACTTAAAGAAGCCGCACTTCACTTTACTCGGCCAGTGGAGATCCTTGATCAAGAGATAAGAGAACGACTTGACTTGCCACCACACGGTCCTTATACGAAGGTGTTGTAATAAATTTCTTATTCCGTTTATGTTTAAGTTAGAGCTATTAAAACAAGTTATACGTAAACAACTTCGGTTAGTTAAACTCATATTAGTTCTTAGTCATTTAGGAAATGAATCAATTTTGTTATAGTTATATAATACCTACTTCATGCTAGTAATTTGGAAATAGGTAAACACAAGACAGTGACATTGACTTCTGTTGTTATCTCTGTGTCATATGTTGGTATGTACAGGGTTTAAACGTAACAAGTACAAGCTGAAATCCAGCGATTGTATTCAATTTCAACTATCCCAAATTATATATTTATTATTTGATTAATCAACAAGAAAAACTTTAAAATATTATAGAGACTATAACAAGTCTGTCCTTTGAGCTACACATGAGTGTAGACAATAAGTCCTACAGGGGTTCCTCTTTATTGGGTTTTCTTTGAAGTCGAAGAAACGGCAACTCACATAATACTGAACGTAACAATGGCCACACAACGTTTAAAACCCCGGAAGGGCTAAGTCGCTCCGAGAAGCCTGCAAAGACACCAGGTGGCTGTTCTTGGGCAGTGTCTGGCTACGCTAGTACTCTCGCCTCTACACGCACAATGCACTAAATTTAAGGTTAAATGCGGAAATAGATGTTTCATTTTCTTTTTGTTTCATATACCCTTTACAACCAACCTTATATAGATGAACAGTACCACGGATATAACATCGCGTTGGGTACCCGACATGTGACATATAAATCTTTGTACAATGTCTATTTCGGTAAATCCGTATAGACACCGCTCGGTACTGTCTACAATAAAATCGTATTATTGTCCTAAACTGGAAAACTCATTGTTCACTGAAATAATCAGATAGTGTTAAAGAGAAAAGTTTTAGGTATACTAACTGGATTATATTTTTATAACTACCGGCCGACCGTCCCAGCTACCATCGATCGTTATGTAAATACTATACATATTAAACCTTCCTCTTGAATTATAATTTAATGGAATTATGTATTAAAATCCGATACGTAGTTTAAAAGATCTGAGCGTACAACGAGACCTTTATTTACAATAACTTAGCGGCGACGGCTTCGGCGGTCTAGCGGTTAAGCACACCGCCTTACTTCCGATAGTCGGGGATTCGATTCCTCGCACAACAAAAACATTTGTAGTTATGACTTTGTATCGGTTTGAGTATTTTCTATCCATAATATGTATGTATTTACGAAAAAAATATATATTTGTATTAGTTATCTAGTATCTAGTACTCATAACATAAGCTTTAGCTAGCTTAACTTGGGTCTAGATGACGCTGTATGAATTGTCTTGAGATTATTATTATTACTTACTTGTGAACAAAATAAAATAAAAGAAACAATGTCTACTGAGACAGACTTTGGTAACAAGTCGTCTGCTAGAGTACCCCAGTCTCGTCTGTTTCAGTCATAAACCGTGTTTTAGGATTCTTGAGGCATTGAAATAACAGGGTATGAAGGCATAACATCCTAGTCCTCCGATATGGCAACGTATGAGCATATATCAAGGTCGTCACATAATATCCGTATGGTGTTATGTATATAGATCAAATGTATAACGATTTAACATCAGGTGAGTAAAATTTTCTTGGTTATTGTAATTGGGAAAATGAAAGAAAAATACATATATTTCCTTTGATTTTCCTTAGCTTATGAGTTTCATAACTGTTAAACATTTAATGCTCATCCCGTCGATACGGTAAACTCTCTTCCAAATTAAAGAATATATTTTTATAAAGTTTTGGCTTATTTCAAATTTAAAAAATGTAGAATAATGTCAGTAATAAAAAAGAATTGTAATTTTTTTTGGTCGTGAAATATTTATATATGATTATAATAAAAAAATTACGGGCTTTGAAATATTTATTTTGTGTAAACTAACGAAAATATATAAAGCTACTTAAATATAGAACAAACAATAAATGAACAAAATATAATTTTAAAAAAATTATTGATTTGTCCAACTGAATCATTTTAGATTATTATTCGGTTAATATGGTCAGAGTCAGTAATTATGTATAAATATTTACGATAAGAAAGTATACATGTTCACGTGTAGGTAAATCATCCGCTTTATTTATTGCGCCTGATATAAGAACACATAATGTCGTATATCACAAGGAGCTTCCCCTCCTATCGATCTCCCGTCTAATTCAAACGATCAAAATTACGACGGCTGGAGCCGAGACTCGAACACCTGCGGCACCGAACATCGAACACCACCAGCGGTGTCCACAAACTAAAGTCGTATCAGTCAGGCGGGAGTTAGTCTTCAGCCGCTCTATAAGTTTTTCTGCTTGGAGTGCCACCTGCATATCTATCGTCCGATGAAGCAGTAAAGGCCAGCTGCTGCCAACATTAGAGTTGTTCAAAAAAGGTCTTCCTAACACGCGATGATATACTTAAGTTGTGTTCTTTTTATTTCTTTTATATTATATTAGTAAAATCAGCTAATCTGTAACATGACATTCATTAGTCTTAGGCGTTACGAAGTTCGTCAGGTCGGCTAGTATATAAGAAAATCCAAGAATTGATTGAGAGAAGAAGACAGAATACAGACTATCATCGATTAATAAATATTCTGTTTTATAATTTTGTTCATAGAAAAATAAACCAACCTATAAGTATGAAGATCTAGACTTAGAATTGGATCTCAAGAATATTGTTCTAAAGCATAATCCGCCAGAAGAATGGAAAATAACAACGCCTATAATACCAGCTTTAGATACGGCATCATCTTCATTTTTATCTGTTAACACTTCAGACACAACACTTCCTATTCCGGGTACCATTTTAATATTTTCATTTTTAACTAAAGTTATTATATTTATAATAAATATAAATAAATGTCACAATCACACCAGGTGAATAATACTAATGCACCAATATTTACAATTATTATCACATTTAGTTTATATTTAATAGCCAATGATGTTTATGTGGTTTCAGAACTAATACCTACTCCTGAGCCAACGCTTTCTGAAACATTCTTTGCTGTTATCTCCAATACTGTAGACAAAGCTATATTTCTTCATGTAGATGACGCTGCTCTACATTATGATATAGCTTACGTTGAAATTAGAAAAGCCGTTGAAGTAGCTATGGAAGTACCAGTAATTGAAATTAGGGAAGACATAGCTGAATTATTTTGTAATGCATATAGACTATTTGAATTGATCATTCTGGAAAAGGAAAGAATTGGTAACAATATTATCATTTAACTTTTTTCTTATTAATAATGAAATTCATATGTATGTTACCGTAACAGACATGTTTTTCCCATAGCGAATACTACTAAGTATGTACCTATATTACAGGAACGTTATAGACATATTACTATGTAACTTTAGAACTTACTTATAGGGATTTTAAGAAACGTTAACAAAAGTCAAATGCTAATATTAAACTTCACCTAATCAGAATTTTAACAAACTATTCAATAACTGTGTAGGTTTACTGATATTAGTGTAAAAGACTTTATAACTATATTATTTATGAAGTTAATAAAAGTACAATCCTTTAAAACTATGTTTAATAATGTCAACTTGAATGCGTTTTATATTTCAATTTATTTAATGTTATGCCTTATTTGCTGTATTCAAATGACATGCTCATTTCTGAGTTTAAATCATGTTAGTGCATATTTTTATCGCTCATAAAGTGAAATACCATATACTCGTATTTATAATTTGTTTGCAGCCGCTGAAATAGCTTGGGAAAAACGTATGGGGAAGAAAATGAAGCGAACGCTCCGACGATTAAATAACTTTAAAGGTATGTTTCATTAGTAATACGGTTTGAATATTCGACCTCCCTGTTAAGTCAAGTGAATTCTACGTTATTAATGTAGTGGAATTTTATAATTTAATATCCTACCATTGCTAATGCAGAACATTATACAATAACAGAAATCCTCTTTTGAAATACATTTCGTTTTTTAATGACATGAGCTTACCTAGATAAATTAATTGTAATAGGATTATAAAAATACCGCAAAGGCATGTCTATACAGTATAGAGCACGTAAAATAATGTATAGATGAATAAATGCTGATTCTGATGTACAAGATATGTAATTTAAAATGCAATATTGTAGTTTTCTTTATTTAGTGTTAAGATAAATGAGAAATTAGTATTTAATAATGGCATGTTAGTATATATGGTTTAATAATACAAACAACCAATCGTCCAAACGACCAACAGTCCAACATAAATGTTTCATTTTAGTAATGACCAGGGCTTACTTTTACTTTGAACATATAGGTATTAAAAATATACAAAATAACTTCTTGTAGCCAAATTAATCAAATTTTCAAATGAGGGCGTCTTGTATTCCTAGAAGAGAAATCCTATTAGAGTTTTTTGGTTATTCCGAAGTAATCCTATTAAAATTTCTGGTACAACTTTCCTTGTATGCCGCATACAAAGAAATTTAATGTACAATTTCTTTTATAATATCAAAACAGCTAATATGTATGTAGGTAGGTACATTTATTTTATAAAAACCAGTTCGCTTTGTTTGTGATATAGGTTTAAAGTTGCCATTATTAGTCAAATACAAATAACTAAACTAAATAAATACCCAAAGAGTGTATACGGTACATAGTATAATTGTTTTTATTTATTCTGAAGCAGATGCAGAACAGACTGCGGTAGTCTTACTAAGAGCAATATATTGCATGGGTTTTACGTGAACGTTTGTAAAAAGATTTACAAAATAATACACAGTAAAATAGTTTATAAATACTAATTGCAACATTGATATATGTGTATTGGTTCTATGTATACATACATTATGATTATACTTATTAAAAAAAACGTATTTAAGTATTTCTACCTATTGTTACCCATAACACAAGCTCTTCTTAACTGATACTTAAATGGACTTAGACGGCGCTGTGTGAATTGTCCAGGAATTTATTTATATACATTCAAATAGGATACGAGACTCCACCAACCCCTAAGAGTGAGATATCATCGCATGAGAGCTATAAGAAGCCACCGATACATCCGTGCGTTTGTCATCCACAGTTCAACTATAACCGATATCCTAAGGTATACTGAACTATATTTCAATCAAGTTTCTACTATACTTAATTATATCATAGTATATAACAATCTTGAAAAATAATATTTCGGATACTAATTACGAAGCATTGCCTAAGCTCGTTAACTTGATATTGCCGATGTCATTCTATTTGATTTTTTTTGTTTTATGTATTGTATTGTATATATCATGATGTTCTTTTGCAATATATTTTAAAAACTATTAATTTACAGAGCAAAAATATATAGATTTACCGTATTAAGGGACGTGTCCCATTTTCAACTGATTCATACAGTCCTCCCTCTCGTGTAGAAATATGAATTATATTTTAAAAACTATTAATAAGTATCATTATTATTTAAACAACTAAAGTACATCTCTTCTATGATAAATTAGTGTATTTTTGTCAAAACGTATTTTATTTCAATTACTCTGCTGACTCATCTGCTCTAGGTATAAACTGTATATTTATATTACTCCATAGATTTAATGTCACATATATAGTATATTTTAACAATGTAGTAACAAATACATGCACAAAATAATATTTCCAATTACTATCACAACCTCGTTAATATTATACTATTAATATAATACGATAATTTTAGTGAAAATATAAACATTAGTTAATTTGATTATTACTAATTTACTTGTAAATGAAACAAAAAGCCAACAATTACAATACTTTTGATTTTCTCTGAATTTTGCGAGATCAAAGATGGCCTATGTCTATCCTCTTGACAACCTACCATCACTTCAAATTTTAATAAGATCATTTAGCCATTTATACCATGTGCGCTGTAGCATTATGCGGCTTGACCGTTTCAATTTCGAAACAAAATTATGATTTACAAATTGTAATTATGATTCGTAATATATAAAATCATAACTGTATTAACTTAAATGTTGCAATTGTTAAATCTAAAATTAGTAACTGTCACCCGCACCATTCAACAGCGCACATAGTATGGTCATGATATGCAACAGAAAGACGAATAAATTTTGCATTTATAATATTAGTGTGGTATTTGTATTAAAAATGAAACTCAATATTCAATTAATCTCTTACAGGATCGCTTCGGTATTTATCTGCCTCGGGAAACTACATATGCCGATGGCAATGTCACGGCTACACCAACAATATCCCTAGAGAATATCGCAGAGCCGGACAACGACGACAGAATGGATACAATAAGCAAGAAATCTGCTCTTTCAACTAAGAGTACTGTTACAAAGAAGACTACATTTCAATAAATATATACGCGGTCTTACCTTTTATCTTGTGTAACAAAGAAGTAGTCCTGGAGACATCAAACCGCGGCATTTACTCCCGACCTAGTACATTATTAAAAATATATTTTTTATGCAAATTGACAAACTCAGAAATACAATAGAAAAGGAGCTTCTTGTTCTTGTGAGTTTAAAATTGAATGGTTTGTGCGGAAATTGTATTGTTCTTTGTTATCCTTATAATTGTGTTATTCTTCTTTTTTAAGCATACCTTGGCTTAATAAACTTTAAACGTCAGTCATTAATCACAATTACCTCAATACCTTTAGTTTCGTTTATTCCTTTTTCTAGATAACGTGATGGTAATAGTATCATTTTTACTGGTTAAGAAATGTTATAGGGATAAAAATCAAAATAAAAAAAGTTATTATATTCGTTATTATTATTATACGTTTTTAATGGTATTCGGACAATAGGCGTATATAGTAAAAATAAATTAATGGTAAGTAGGTTAAAAAACATTTTGGAACGCCTAAAGGTAAAAAAATGTTATATGGAAATTCAACCTATGAAATTAAAGACTTAGAACTTTCAGTCTAAAAAATAATGAATATTCAATTCCAAATAATAAACTCCGAAAGTTGAGGAAGGGTAGGACAAGAATCTAAATTGAAATCCTGTGACTTTTATTAGGCGTGGTAATGGTAAATATATGAGTTATTTATAGTAGGTTTGATTCATTTACATTTCTCGTAAAAGGTAAGTTTCATGTGAGAAGTTATTAAAAAAATAAAACTTCTTTGTTTCGGAAACAAAATTTTTACTTTATTCAAAAGTAAATACCATTATTGAGAGATAATGTCTCCTAGAGTACACAGCTGGACTTAAACGTCTCAATCCAATAATACATATATAGTATCTGAAACTATACAGGTTTAACCATTAAAATAAGATTTTATATAAGAAAGACATTTTATATAAGAAATTTGAAATATATAAGAATTTTGAAATACAAGTAATCAAATTAAAACTTGTAAGTAGTAGACAAAGATCTTTCTAATATTGGCTTTCATTTTCTATCATAAGCAAATCCAACGAAACTGCGATTGATCGATACATTTCTGAAACCTATTTAAAAACTATTACGGAAATGTAATCTGTGTAACCAACTGCTTAAGTAACTTGCTCCCGAAAGTCGAAAATATTAAATGTTGATTTAACGAAATGAGGTTTGATCGTATGCACGTTTGAACTTGCGATAGCACATAAGTGGCTGAATTAAATATTAGATAGAGATTGGATCTACTCCAACGTTTTCAATTTTCAAGTAAATACCTGATTTAGATGTAGTGCAAAGTAGTGTTTATTTTCCTTTAAATTACAAATATAAATACTGGTTTGAACACAACCACCCTAATACCTATCTCACTGTATTCCAGAGCCTAGCTCTGGAAAAAATAACATGTAGTTATCTTTCTCAGCATACTGTTATTCCTTCGAATTTATTTCTGGTTTGTACAAATAATTGCGAATTATCAGAAAAGAGTCTGAAAAAAAAAACATTAATTACATCGTGTAAGATTAATTATGTATAAAATAAAAAGTTTTACATTTACGTGCAGATGAAATTTAGTACTATTATATTCTTCACTAGACAGCTAACACCAATATGGCCTAGTTAGTAGTGTACCTGTGTACCAATTTACCACACAGACACTCCGAGTTCGAATTTCTTTCCGTCCGTTTACTTCCCCCTCCGATCGATCCCCCGTCCAATTCAAACGGGGATCGAAATTACGACGGCCTGAGCCGAGGTTCGAACCCCTAGTGGTGCCCTCGGGCAGGAGTTGGCCTTCAGCCGCTCCATAAGTCCTTCCGCGGGTTTGGAGTGCCATCTGCACTCGCCCCATAACGTCCGGTGAAGCTGTAAAGGCCAGCTACGGCCAACAGCATTAGAGTAGTCCGAAAAAAAAAAACTAGACAGCTAATTGATAAACCGTACCTTGGTCTTTTAATTGTCTTTAAATCTTGGTCTCTTGGTCTATTAAAGTAACGTGCAACTAGCAACAAGCAGATTATCACTACATCATAGCCATTAGTGTACAGTTACCTACATCAAATGGCTTCTATGACTAATTGGTAAGTTTCATAAATAAAATATATTAGAATATTATGTAAACATAAAATAAGATAGAATACTCTAACATTAAATTCATTTCTGAAAATTAACCATTAGTAATCGGATAAAAGCCCACTCGGTTCTCTTTGGCTGACAGGTAAGAAATGTAATTGCTCGTTTTATGTTATTAATGAATGTGCTACCTGGAAAAAGTGATTTAAAACTTAATAACATTAAAAGTCAGGTATTCATGAGGTTTCTTAAGATCATTTATGATACGTAAATTGATTCAATAATATTTTCAATTTTTCATTCGCCTTCAAAGAAGAGAAGATTCTCAAATTGATTTGTGTCTATTATGCTATAAACTACTTGAAGACCAATATATAATTTGTTCGTAGTTGTAATAAGTTGGCTTCATAAAATAATTAACTAAACTCTCAGATTTGAGTCGCCAGAAGTGAATAATATATTTCGCTTGCAAAACTATTTTGGTTAAGACAATATTTAAGAACTAAATATAGTTCTTAGAATAAAATACACGTAGATTCTATAAAAAAAGTATATTATCAATGTAAATAAACTATTATAATATAAAACAAAATAATTTTAATCTTGACAGAACACCCGCTGTCATTATTGTTTCAGTACATGAATTTGGAAACTGTTGTAAGAAATACCTATACATTTATATTACATGTGTTTTGACATTGTAAATCGACATTTTAAAATCCCACTCTTTTTCAGACTAAATAAAAATGGGTTGTATGTTGAGAAGTGACCCTATGTCACTGTTTGATACATACATCCAACCCGAAGTAGCGTTTGAAACGATGTCTTATCTTGGAGATTTAGGCTGTTGTCAGTTTCTGGATGTAAGCCATTTTTTTATTATAAAGTAATTGTTAGCAACTCATGCATTTACTCAAAATTGTAATCATGCCATATAAATATGAGCGCACTACAAGGAGAAACCAAGAGGACTTGTAGTAAATAGCTAGCTCAGTAGCTTTAGACTATCCTGAGTGCACACCTTCTGCCATCACATATTTTATTAATAGCATTCATATAACATTGGTTGTAGTGTAGCTAATGTAGCTTTATCATTCCTGGATATGAAACTATTATTCCACTTATAACAAAGTAGTGTTTATTATTAGCTTTTAAATTATCACCATCCATGAATTCACTATAATATAATATTTTCATGTCACGAAATGCAATATAGAGGCATCGATGCACCATAGATCGATGACCTTACAGAATTTATAAAACTCGTATAGTCATAATCAATTCTAAGGTACTATCCTCGATATTCGAATGAAAAATACATGGATTTAATAATATAGTCTTATCTATGTTAGATGCAACTGATTTAATAATAATGTATCGTATTGTTGTCCAAAGAGTAGTAGTTCGCTACGTCCTAGCAAAATGAAATAGTTTGCTCTCACGATATCTATCTGATCTAGGATGACCCGGAATCATGTGGCAACAACTTAGACCGTCATAATCACTTGTAGAAGTTGATAATATCGTGTCTAAGCACGCAAACGAAACACTATGATGCTATTCAATTATTGCACTTAATAATTTAAAATAAGGCTGCTATCTGAGCTTACTTTTTATAGACAATGACTTCGACACAGTTTCAAACAAAATTTCTAGTTGTTTTAATTTCTGTTAAAATATCATTGTCACCATTCCTTTGTAAATGAAGTAACCCCTGAAATTAATGCACCACATTGAAGGTATTCAGTTCACATTATTAATATACTTAAACAGGTTTTAACAAGTATAATTTAAAACGGATGAGTCAGCTCGTAAACACGGTTAGTGCAACCTAGTCGAATCATCGAGAGAGGTAAATACCTTTATTTACCATAAAATGATTCGTGTTCAAACCCGTTTAACTATAATAATAAGGTGTACCAAACGCGAAAGTTTAAAAATAAGGTAGTAAGTTAATTAAATGGTGACATGACTTTCCTTTGTTCGTGTATATATTATAAGAGAAGGCTTATACTTTGCTACATAGAAAAACGTCTCCGTTCCGTTGATTTGTTGGATGGTAACTAACATTATAAATAGAAATGTCGATATTGTGTAGTCAAGTCTAGTCTTAACCGTACAAAGCTGAGACGGGTTTCTTGAAAATAACTGTTTTCTTACATCTTTAGATGAATCCCGATGTTCAGCCATTTCAGAAAAGTTATGTGTCAGAAATGTGTCGATGCGCGGAAATGGAACGGAAACTAAGGTTTATGGAAGACGAAATATTGAAAGATAGTATTCATATACCTCACTTGAAAACTGAACCTCAAGCCTTACAACCAAATGAGATGCTTACATATGAGGTGAATGAAGTCCTAATTCTATATCAAACTAATAAATTAATTAAGTACATTAAAATATAATTCGACATCCATCCAATGTATAGAAAGTACTAAATCAATTTGGGTTACCTATTGTCAATATTAAAATGGGCCCAAATATGACGTAAACTCTTTTAATCATAATTATTCTTAAACTTTCGTATTTAATATACATTATTATAGTTAATAGGGTATTAAACCCATAAATTTATGGTAAATATTTTTTAATTATGATTTAAATTCTGATGCACAGAATATGTTGGACAAGTGGGAAGGCGACATTATGGAAATGTCAACAAATGAATCAAATTTAATGAAAAACTACGTTAAGATGTCTGAAATGTATTATGTCTTAGAGCACGTCGGACCAATGCTGGGAGACGCTGAGTTGAGAAGAGAATCATTTTTTTCTAAGTAAGAATACATAAATAGATATATTAGTATAAAAATAATAAGCAATACTGTTACCTATTATGAATTTGAAAACTTGCTTAGGTTTTTACCAAAAGTAATCTACGTAAAACCTTTACATAGTTAATATGTAAGGTTCTAAAACGATAATATTCCTCAATTATTTTATTTCAATATAGTCAGTGTATCACAATTGATTTTGTATAAAGCAGACGGACTATCAGTTACTAGTAATCCACTAGGGTTTACTAGTAATTAATAGTTGATTGTTATTGCATTCTTATAGAAAACAACAATTGTAGCTGAAGTAGGAATAACAATTTTATCGGAACTGAATAGCAAAAATTGTTAAATAAATTAAATTATGACTTTCATAAAGAATGTCCTATATTAATAAATATTGATTTTGACCTCCTTTACATACGCATATTGGTGTCCTAAATGCTCTTAGAATCCTGCGGCGATTTCTCTCATGAATTTTTAGTAAAAATGTAATTTAACTATTAGTCCAAAATTTCGTTGGAATCCGTTGAGTAGTTTTCACGTGAACGAGTAACAAGCTTCCACCCGTCCTCGCAAACTTTCCTGTTTACATTAGTAAGATTAAACAAAACTTACATTTGCACTGCATTAATGTTATTAATATTTTTGCAAGTTAAGTACGATCACAAAACAAACATTGTTTTCCCATACAAATTAATATCGCTATTAAAAATAGGGGTTGATGGTAGAAGAGTATAAATTTTAAGTTGCATGTATTTCTTAATTCCAAATCATAAAGAAAGTAAAATTAAAAATTATGTTATTAAAAAATAAAGATTAAAAATTATGGCCACACGTATTACTTAGGTGTACAAAAAACAGATAATAACCTATTTTCAAACTGTTACACCTATACACAACTTTTTATATAATATACTCTACTTTTAAAGCTATTTAATCAAAATCAGTTCAGTAGATAGTAATAAATCGGTTAAGGTACTAGGGTTCCATCGCAGACAAACAACGTAGAAAGAAAACACGATTTTTCTTATATATTATAAGATTGCATATCATAGTTAAAGTTAAAAAAAACTTATTCAAAATATATGCCTTTTATAGAAAAAATACAACCGCTGGTGCTGGTGATATTGGCTTTGGGGGTCAATTGATGGTTCTTGCGGGAGTAGTGAGACGAAAGAGATGTTTTCACTTCGAAATGATGTTATGGAGGATCTCCCGTGGAAATATATACTTTCGACAGGCATCTCAGGACAGAATATTCAAGGAACCAATGTCGGTAAGAGGAGTTTTAATGCGGACTTTCTATAATTAGCTGCCTTTACACTACATATTCTTTCACACGCAATCATGATCGCGCGCGATTTAGCGCGGGAAAGCCAGCTCACGCAATTGTAATGCATTTTACTATTTTTCTGTTCAGCCTTCGCGATAGTTTCTGCGGATAATTCATGTTTTCACTTTCCTTAATTTTGTTCACTGATTTTATTAATATCTTGTTTATTTATTAATACACGTTTAAAATGTAAAAATGTTCATTAATTCTATGTTTACATTATGATTTTGCTCGATAATCAGATGTCCAAAAGAATCAGATATTTTATTATTATCAAAAGAAAACTGGCGAATGTGCGGTGTTTCTCATTCTCTTTGTTTCAATTTACATGCATATTATTTCCTGCATGAAAGATTGTACTTGCAACTAATATATACCTCAATATATTCTGAATAGTTAAAAATACTCATTTTTAATATTAAATAAGAATGATAAAATCAATCATTATGAGAATGAAATATACTTGTGAGAACGAAAACAAATTTCAAAAACCATTCAAATCAATTGGTGAATATATATACTATAACGGTCATATAGAATAGAACAGCCGAATTGAAATCTTTTTTATTGACTTTAATATTTTGTCCAAGCAATATCTTTCGTTTTTCTTCTCTTCCGTCAACATTTTTAATATGGCCGATTTTTAATTGGAAAGCTTCTATTCTATTATTATTATTATAATTTGGAACTGTAGCCAAATATTCCTATTCTATGGTATTATCTGTATATAATATAAAAATATTGTCTTTGTGTCATCCAGTATTCTTCTAATAGTCCGAACTAACATAGTTTCACCATACCATTCATGATATGGTGTCACATTGAAGATATTTAAATCAAATAATTATGCGTTCCATTTACATAATCAAAATAATAAAGTCAAAAGTAATTACACCACATAGCAACACAGAGGGAATTATTAATATTGGTTGCATTGATTCATGGTGCACTACAGGCTTCATCGCATTACAAGTAGAAGGAAATCAATAGTTCTTAGAACTACGACCTAGATGTTGCTTCAAAGGGCCGTCCTTTAATGTAATTGCATTTAGAACTTGCGTAATAATAAAATATCGTTTCAGATTAAAGAAATTAGAAAGGTTGCATTCTTAGCTATTTGTCAAGGAGAAGAGCTGAAACTCCGTATGCAAAAAGTATGTAGCGGATTTCGTGTCAATGTATACTCTTGTCCTAAAACATATGAAGAAAGAACAGATATGCTTGAAAAATTGGGTACTAGACTTCTTGACATCGAACAAGTAAGGCGTTAAAACGTTTAAGATATGATCTAAGACAGATATGCTCTCATCTATTATTTGATGATGACATTATTTATATGTTAGTTACAATATACATTTAGAAATCATACATTGATTGCTCGGCTAAATCTTAATGTATCAAATAATGTACACTTAGTAACCACCTAAAATATACCACACAAAATATCTTTAAAAAATATGGGTTAAGTGTAGGGATCGAGTTAAAGCATTTTACGTATATATATCTAAAGATTAACAAATTAAAAGAGTAAATCAGCAATACAAAATATTTATCGATTTTGTGAATCTAGATTAACATGCCTACCTAAATTTCAGTATCTTTTACTATTGAGACGTAACATAAGCTAGTTCTTAGTTTCTTCTTCCTTTGTTAAAACTTCAAAGAACAACGTCGTAAATATAAATTATAAATAAAATAATTCACTCAACAGCATTCGTAATATACCTGGATTTATAAAAGTTTCCGACGTCAACCCAAAGTTAGCGGCACTCCACAAAAAAGCTAGTAAACGTAGTTGTGCATCTTTCCACAATTATTCACCATAATTTCGGCCATTTTAGTTGACAGTCGTTACGGTGAGTCGATCTGAGTGTTCTTGTGAAAATGATTAAAATTGGGTATCAAGCTATTTTTACTAAATTTTTATTATATTTACTATTTTTACTATTATTAAATTTAATTTGGAATGGCAATACGCCTACGCAAATCTAAGATGAGATGGACTCTGTGTATGGGAACTCTGCACCATCATTTGTAACAGTAAATTTCTGGGCAGCTGAATTTAAAGGGCAAGCAAGGGCTTGGAAGACGATGAACTTTGAGGACGACCGAAAACTGCAACTACTGACGATAACCTTACTAAAGTTTACCAAATAGTGTTAGACGACCACCGAATTAAAATAGAAGAGATAGCAGAGCTAATTATAATTTACAAACATGTCTATCACATGTTCAATCAAGATTTAGACATGAGAAAGCTGTCCAAGCATTGGGTTACGCTTTTGTTCACATAAGACTCATGAAAACCGTGTTCGAATAAATATTTCCAAGGCTCTGTTGTCGCAGTTAATTCAAAAAGCAGCCGCAATAAATTCGTGTTTTGGCACTGATCAATTTAAAATAAAACTTGGATATACCATCATACGTGTGAAACAAAGAAAAATAAACAATCAAAACAGAGGACTGCAAAGGGAAAGCCGTATCAAAAAGAAAGGAAAAATGTTAATTTTAATAATCTTCCAAAAGGAAAATCATTACAGGAACGTACTAGTATTATGAATTAACAAGCTGAAGGCAGAAATTGCGAAAAAACAAGAACATTTGCAGAAAAAGAAAATCTTCTTTCAACAAAACAACGCGCCGCGCCGTCTCGCACCTCAACGGTTCCCATAGCAAAAATCCACGAATTACGGTTTCTACAGTTTGTATGTCCACATTACTCACCAGATCTAGCCTCAAGCGATTTCTATTCACATTTCTATTTAACTCATATAAAAACTGCTCTCGGGGAACAGATATTTTCGACAAATAAGTAGGCAATCACCTTTGTTAACAACTGCTTTGCAGAGAAAAACGCCGGGTTGGACGCCGGATGGACCGGTTAGACCGTATTATATTATATTATTATACGGAGTATCAAAAAAAAAATTGAATAAAAAAAAATATGTCGAAAAATTTACAGACCCACCCACTACAACATTTAGCAGTAAATAACTAATGCTTGAAATAGTATTTCTTTCAAATTTAATGGTTTTTTACATAATGAATATTGAGCGATAATAGTGTCCAAAGTATTTCCTTAATTTTAAATAAATTATTATAATATTTCTTAATCTCTTAAATCTTTTTTTACTTTTATTTCTTAGTTGTGTGTTTTAAAACCAGAATTTGTCTCGTCAACTCATGTGTTTTATGAATCTATATATTGTCTAACATATACAGATGTTGGTAGATACTCTTTATGACATTTCTGCTATTATTATGGCATACTATCGGATTCAATATAAAACGACAGCAACCCATATTCGTATATTATTTATTCAATGATAAAAACCATCTTATTAAATGGAACTATTACATGGTTATAAAATTAACAATATTTAATTTATATATAAAATAATTGGATCTGCCCATATGCCCATCTGCAACATAATTCATCTTATATATGTAAAATATATAGGTATATACTTTCTAATAGCTTATCCACAAATTCCATTGTCCATTACAGGTATATTTATTATGATTTATTATTATTATAGATACTACTTTGTAAACTTTTAGTAGTTAGTCGCTATTAATACTTAAATTTAGCTTAAAATTAATACTTAAAAGCATAGTATAACTGTAGTGAAACACAAGCTTGTAAGATGAATACTACTTTATTGACAGTTGAGGGTAATATTGAAAACATAAACAGTAAACTACTCACATAATACACTACATCTTTCCCCTTAGGAAGTATAAGATACATAGATGCTAGTTACACAATGAGTAGGTATTTAAGGTGCTAAGGTACCAACATATGCTTTACAAATATATGTAGTAGCCATATTTTAAAATAACATTAATAGTTAACTATATATGCAAAACTTTATTAAATTAGTAGTAATATCTACTAGTAAGTAATATATTATTACAATAATATGCCTTGTGAATACATTTTAATATTTACTTAAATGGCACTGAAAAGTAACTAGGTTATTAAACATGTTTTATATAAACTTATTGTTCCGATACTAAATTGTTAACAAACTTATACAAAACTCACTAATTTTCAAAATTATAAATAAAATTAATCTAAGGTTTTCTTATCCTTACTCGCCTTCTTTCTAATGGTTACAAATTGCGTATCATGAGAGCTCGGTAAAGTGAATGTAGTACGTGTATGATTAGAAACGCGTGTCTGTGTAGCATTTTCTGGCAGGTAAGGACTCACCTCCGCATCTGACGATGTTGCAGTACTGGATATAGGAGTCGTCAGCCCTTTTCCTGTATATTTTTTATCTGCCATACCGTCTGGACTATTCGTACCTGTGTGTGTTGTTTGCTCGCCCACTGTACGCCGCTGTCTGCAGATTATATGACGACGATTACGCCTATACCTACGACCGACACCATCTTCCAATATGTACGACCGCGGCTCCTGTGCTTGTTTGTACCACTTTCATAAAACATTTTGTTGTAGGCTGGGAAGTTCCTTATTCCTTGCCCGTCTATCATAGGCTGACTTCTGCATTTTCTGTTTGTTTACCAAATTATCAAAATTAACCTTGTTGTCTACTTTTTCGGATAACAGCGATTCGTAAATTGGAAGACGGGTGTTTAAACGTCTTCCCATTAAAATTTGGGCAGGTGAATCCACAGAATCCCTAGGTGCGGATCTCAAATTTAAGAAGCTCAACTGAAAATCATGGTCCGAATCATCGCATTTTTTTAACATATTTTTTACCGTACGTATCATACGTTCACTTTTTCCATTAGATTGTGCATATAAGGGGGATGACGTGGTATGGACAATATCCCAATCGGTCAAAAACTGTTTAAATTGTTTAGAAGAGTAAGCCGGTCCGTTGTCCGTTATTAAAAATTTTGGTATACCGTGCCTACAAAATTGCTCTTTCATTGCTCCGATAACACACGTACTTCCAATTGAATTAATTTTATTAACTTCGACATAGTTCGAAAAATAATCTACTAAAATAAGATAATATTTCTTTTTATATTCAAATATGTCCGACCCTAACTTATTCCATGGTAATTTAGGAATAGAATGCGGTACCATCGGTTCCCGCAATGGTCGCGGCGCATGCACCGCGCACGCGACACAGTCGCGCACGACGCGCTCCACATCGCGCGACATGCCGGGCCAGAACATCACCTCACGCGCGCGACGCTTGCACCGGTCGATGCCTAAATGTCCCTCATGTATGCGGCGCAACATATCGTCTCTCAATGTACACGGAATGTATACGCGATCGTCTTTAAGAATTAAATTTTCTATATACTCTAAACTATCCCTGTATGACCATAGCAAACGTACTTCTGGTTTCACGTTATTTTTATTTCGCGGCCATCCATTATTAATATAATAAATCAAAGTTTGAGCCAGCTGGTCATTTTTTAATTGATCTCTTATTGAATCTAGTTTTTTATCACTGTACTGTAAATTTTGTAACATAAAACATGTTTGTGCTTCTAATTCGTCATTAATACGTTCATGCATAAGTACAGGGAGCGCGGCACGTGATAAGGTGTCCGCTATGTACATATATTTCCCGGGCGTATAGACAACTTTGAAATCGTAATTTTGTATACGTAACATCATGCGCTGTAGACGCGCCGGCACAGAAGATAACGATTTTTTAAATATCGCTTCTAACGGCTTATGATCCGTCTGGATAGTAACATCGTTTCTACCAAAGATATACTGATGGAAGCGTTCACACGCAAATACGATAGCCAGCATTTCTTTTTCAATTTGTGCGTAGCGCCGTTGTGTATCGGTGAGTGTGAGTGACGCGAACTCGACCGGCCGGCCTGCCTGCAGTACCACGCCACCCAACGCTTCCGCGCTCGCGTCTACTGACACAACTATAGGTATTCGGTTCGAATACAGCGCGAGGACTGGGACAGACGTGATTAAACTTTTTAATTTATTTATTGCGTTCGTATGTTCAGGTCCCCATATCCACTCCGAATCTCTCTTTAGAAGCGTTCGTAACACCACAACACTTTCAGAATAGTTCGGAATAAATTTAGAAAGATAATTCACCATACCTAAAAATCTTTCAAGACCTTTTCTGTCTTTCGGTACAGGCATATCGACTATGGCTTTCACTTTAATACTATCAGGCCTCATACCATGCTTATCAAAAACATGCCCTAAGTAAGTAACCTCCTTTACGTTAAATTTACATTTTTCTTTATTAAACCGAATCCCTATTTGTTTAGCTTTCTGAAGTAATTTTTCTAGTCTGACATTGTGTTCCTGTTCACTAGATCCCCAAACTACAATATCATCTATGAATGATTCGATTCCTTCTATATTTTCGAGGTGCTGTCTCATCATACTATGAAATAATTCTGGTGCACAATTGATACCATAAGGTAGTCTCAAAAATTGGTACCTACCGAAAGGGGTGCCGAAGGTACAGAGGTCAGCACTGGCCTCGTCCAGCTCCAGCATCCAGAACCCGCAACGCGCGTCCAGCACGCTGAAGTGGGTGGCGCCGCGCAGCCGCGCCGCCACCTCGGTCACGGTCGGCAGCGAGTAGTGCGCGCGCCGCACCGCACGGTTCAGAGCACGCGGATCCAAGCATACACGTATATCACCGTTTTTTCTTTGCAGCTATGACAATGGCATTCACCCAGTCGGTAGGATGACTCACCTTCCTTACGACTCCTAACTTCTCCATTCTTTTCAACTCAGTAAACAACTTGTCTCTCATACCGAGAGGGATTCGGCGAGTAGGACAGATAACGGGAGTGATACGATTATCCAATATAATTTTGTGTTTCCCCGGTTGCTTACCTAGACCGTGAAACAAATCCGAGTAATTATCAATATTTAAAGTATTTATTCTTTGAACGGCTCCTATTTGCAAACATGCGTTTAAACCCAGTATATTTTGACATTGCATATCTGCGATAACAAATTTTAAATTATACAATTTATTTTTAAAATTAATTTGTAAATTACATTTGCCAATTACGGGAACTATATTGCCCGTGTACGACAACACTTTTTTATTATATGACAAAATACTATTCGGATGTATTCCCAATCGGTCAAAGTCCAACTTCGACAATACATTTATCATTGCACCTGTGTCTAATTTAAAAATAATACGCTTACCATTAAAGTCAATAATTTCTGTCCACTCGTTTGGCACATATTTTTTCTCTTTAGACACATTTACCATATTTACGTATAACACTTCATCACTCGAATCTGACATCGTAGCACTCATCGTATACACCCTCTCGCCTATCACTTTATTCGAGCACACCCGAGCGAAATGACCTCGCCCGTTGCATACGAAACAAGTAGATCTCAGCGCCGGACACCGCTGCGCATCGTCACAGTAGGTATTTCCACAACGCCTACAAGGAGTGCCGCCCGCGGCTCGCTCGTGTGGCCGGCCGCCGTCGCCGCCGCCGCCGCGGCGCCCGCGCTGGCGTCGCCGGCCGCGGCTCGAGCCCGCGCCGCCGCCGTACACCGCATCCACACGCGCCCCCGACGATGTCGCCATCTCGATCTGTCTACGTTCCTCTTTAGACATCTCGGCCGCCTCACAAATCTGTACCGCCTTCGCAAGCGTCAGGTCCTCCGCTCGAAGTAACCTGTTACGCACCACGTTATCTAGGATTCCACATACTATTCTATCTCTCAGTAAACCGTCGACCAGATGTTCAAATTCACAACCCTGACTGAGTAATTTTAATGCAGTTACATACTGATTTATGGTTTCTCCCGCCACTTGGTTGCGTGTAAAAAACTTAAACCTTATGGACGTGACATTCACTTTCGTTCCAAAATGGACGTCAAATTTATTTTTCAAACATTCAATATCCTCTGCGTTTTCATCTTTTGTATAAGTAAATGTGGAGAAAATTTCATAACCCTCAGCTCCAATGAGATTCACCAGCAAGCTCGCCTGCACATCCTTGGATTCCTTACTGACATCCGATGCTTTTAAAAACACAGCAAACTGTTGCCACCATTTCCGCCATGTTTCAGCTCTAATGGCGGGATTGCCATCCACTTGTAATTCCGAAGGAGGACGTGCATGTTCCATTTTGATTAAATACAATCGGCACAGACACTATATTTAATGCTATACACACTAAATTTTATCTTTTTATTAATATTTTGCACTGTTACGTATTTATTTTATTTTACCCGCTGCCACCATGTAGTGAAACACAAGCTTGTAAGATGAATACTACTTTATTGACAGTTGAGGGTAATATTGAAAACATAAACAGCAAACTACTCACATAATACACTACAATAACTTCATTATTTATAGTTAACTCTTTACTCCAATATAATACGCATCTACCTTTCTGTTAAGCGGTGGCATGATCGAAGCAGATTCCGTTATGTTTCATTCCCGTAGAAGTATCTAAAAACTATTTCATAATGGATATTCCAAAGTGGATACGAGGGTGATTCGCCTTTATACAATGTTTCAAAAATGTAGACACTAATTCCAGGGATTTCAAGATAAACCTGTGGGCGTGCTTTATTTGTATACAGAAGAGTAGTCCCTTTACTACAATTGTGCCTTATTTCCTTATCGATTTATTATTATAATTGACCAGAGTATGACGGAATAAAACAAAACTTGTTTATATATAAATAAAAATATAAAAAAATAACTCTTTTGAACTCTTTTGTTTATCAAATAAAATATTAGAACGTGTATCAATAAAGATTACATTGTCATGATAAGTAAGTAACAGTACTCTGAATATCATAATAATATTATTATTAAAAATGTAAATATTATGGTAAATTGTTTTTTTTTTCAGGTACTAAGAAAAACCGATTTCCATCGATGTAAAACTTTAAGAACAATCTCTCGTCAGATTCGTACATGGGTGATACAAGTGAAAAAGTCAAAATCTATTTATCATAATTTAAATTATTTTAATATGGACATTACCAAAAAATGTCTCATTGGTCAATGTTGGGTACCGGATAGAGATGTAAACAAAGTTCAAGAAGGCCTAAAAAAGTGCTCGGTATTATGAAATTAATTATATAAACAAATATTAAAAGTAATAATTTAAAAAAAGCAATATTAAGACTATGAAACATGTATTATGTAGTATCAAAATCAGAATAGTCTATTATTAATAGATATGGTATGATGTGGTATGGATATGGTGTGGATATGGTATGGTAACTATGAAACATATCAATAATGATTACAATATCTTGTTACTGCTGTACAGTTTTTTAATCTTACTATTTTTACATTGTATGTCCCTTTTTAAGATACATAGTGTCCTATATACTATATGACGTAGTATTCTGTATCATAATCCTAGTAAGAGTAGTCAGGCATTGTCGCCATACGACCATAATCGTACTGAACATAAATATTCCACTTTCTTCCATTTCTCCGAGCATATTAGATACCAATCTAACAAAGGACAAAGCTAACAGTTACCTTCGTAACTGTCATCAAAGAATACAAACATTGATCTACTATTAGGTACTCAAGTTAGGTTTTTTATTAGTATTTATGAACACTAAATAATATATTGGAAATATAATATTACGCCAAATTTCGGTATCTAGCCATTAAACGGACCTAAAGAAATAAAGATGTATGAGATGAGAAACTTTCTTAGTAATATTATGCTTTTGATAATACATATATATCCCATCTAAGGCTGAAATGATGAGGTTATGTTATGATAATAAGCTGTTACATTTTAACTTACTTACTTATTAATAGTAATATAATAAGACTTGCCTACCCACTAACCTAACCTAGATTGTATATAGATAAAGAATAGCAATTTTAATACAACCGATTATTTCTTTATTTTTTAACGGCTTAACCAATTATGGAACTTGGTATAGGAACGCTTTGAGATGCGATAGTCAATTTCAATTAAAGCCTGTATTTATAAATCAAAGCGAATGCAGTCGAGGATAAAAGCTATTTTGCAAATACTATAGGAGTTTATTTATTTTTTAAGCAAATGGTCGGTACAAATGTACATTCGTTCATGTCAAAGAGAAATACTGACGCAGTGCCACCAACATTTCATCGTACCAACAGGTTTACTAAAGGATTTCAAGCGCTAATAAACGCTTACGGCGATTCTGCATACAGAGAATTGAATCCTGGTAACCAATCCATATATGTTTTCAAAAAATAACAAACTAGAAATATGGTTTCATGTTTTTACTTTTTTAAAACGAGAAACATCGGAATATCAAAACTACGGTAAAGCCATATTTTCATTTTTATTTACAGCATTGGATATTGATTTATCTTTCATGTTTATAAAATCTCCATTTCATTTTTTTATCTGAAATAAATCTACTTTTATATAAGTAATATAAAAGTAGATTTATATCAGATTTTTTTTAATATAATTTGTTCCATCTTTACAGGACTCTATACAATAATCACTTTTCCCTTTTTATTTTCTTTGATGTTCGGTGATATGTGTCATGGTATAATATTGTTGCTTTTTGGATATTGGATGATAATCAATGAGAAAAAGTTCATCGCCCAAAGATCAACTAATGAAATTTGGAATATTTTCTTCGGAGGTGATACAACAATGAAAGTGAAATTATTTGTAGCATTTACATATCTCTAAGTCATACTTGTGTAACTAAATATAAAAAGAATCAATAATGAATTGGACCTGCAGTTTGAAATAATTAATAGCTTCGCCATATAAAAAAGAACAAATTTCCACTTGTAAGATTTCTTTATGTAATTGCAAAGAACTTGATAGATCACCTATGATGGCATTACTTTGACATTCCAAAAGACTGAGATCTAATCCTTATATCCTGAAATCTCATGGCTAATCCGCACCCTACAACCGAAACACAGCTTACAAGACAAGCTGATTAGTGAAATTGACTGACGTTGCAGACGCCTTTTTCTTACCTTAGTAAAATGAATTATCTAAACGAATATTATGATTCACTCATCGAGTGTTTCTTATATAATGATGTTACTAATTTATTTTGAAATGACTTATTTTCGGTTACCTCTTTATAAATAGTTTTCCGAAAGTAAGTCATTTAAAAATAGAATAATGGATGATTATTTATGTACTTGATATTCATTACTCCTCTATTAGTTTCAACAAGACGTAAAATTATTTCAATTGGGTAATGATTTAATCTAGATTACTTTGTATAATATTAGGACGTTACGTTATTACGATGATGGGTGCCTTTTCAATGTACGCCGGGTTCATATACAACGACTGGTTTTCTAAGGCTATAGTAGTAATGGATGCCTATTGGATCAACAATCTGAACGCGGAACAGATTGCAGCAAATCTAATAATTGAACTGGACCCTAAAGATGAAACGGGACCAGTTTATATATTCGGTATAGATCCAATTTGGAAAGTAAGTGATTGCTTCATCTGCACTATACACACCGTACTGTTTTCAGTATTATAACGACGAGAAGTGCATGGTATCGTGATGCAAATTTGCAAAGCATATATCTAAGTAGTTAAAATGTAATTCTAAAGTAGGCCATTAATTCTATGAGATTACTTGTAATATAAGTACGTAATAAACGAAAAAATTATCTTATTGTTTTTATCTAAATTAAAATAAAATAGTAATTAAAAACTATAATGTTTTTGTTTTTGTCGGAGTAGTACTATGTACAATAGATATTTAATAGCAGTCAATATTGTTTTTGTATGCCATTTCTTACTCGTGAATATCATAGTGTATTAATATATACAATGTCTTGTTATTTACATATTTCAGGTGGCTAAAAACAAGATAATGGTCGAAAACTCAATCAAAATGAAACTGTCTATAATAATTGGAATAGTTCACATGATGTTCGGAATTTTTCTCAGTTTATTCAATTACATGTAAGTTTACTACGGTAGTTATTAATAATTATTACCCAGGACAATCCACACAGTTCTATTTAATCCCAAGCTATGTAGAGCTTGTATTCTGGTTACTTGAGTACTGATAGAATACCACTACAACTGATAGAAATAAACAAATATAATATTTGTTTTATTTGTGCTAAATATTATTATATATTATTTAATAACAAATGATAGACGCTCTTATAGACTCGTGGAGTTCTATGAACCCCCATACACAATGTGTAAAGCGGCGTATGCATCACTCCGATGAAATCCTCTTATATGAGATTATACCTACAGTGTAACCCACCTTCCAATCGAAACGCATTTGCAAGGCTTTCATAGAAACAGATTTATTACAAATATATTGCTACTGCATATTGCTACAAATGTAGTAATAATGCATCCTACTGGTATATGGAAGTTAGTCGGAGCAGAAAGCTTTTCTATGCACACAATAATATATAAATATATATATATACATTTTTCTATTTATTTCTTCACTCTCACTTCAATTTTATATAGGGTTTTACCAAAATTTTCTTTTAGCCCACATCTATTCTTTACCTATCTCTTACTTCTCTTGTACTATATTTTACAAATTAAGTAATTCGGAATAAGTGTATAAATAATTTATATATTACTTGTCTATGAAACACTCCAAAATAAAAGTTAGAAACTGATTTATAGAATACTTGAAATAAAATCTAGATACGTTACTTTATGATTACGCTATACTGTAATCGAACTAGTTGTTATTTCGGACCATTAAGTGGAAGTATATATCTATATCATTAAATTTTAGTCCGCTGTTACGCTCACAGTTTTATGGCTCAGAAGAGATGAGCGGATATAATATGAATTTATTGTAAACTGTGATAGATTTCTGAAAGTAACTTAACAAATAAATTTGTGTAAACTAATCTTAAATTATTTTCTTTATAGATATTTTAAACGCAAATATCTGATATACTTGCAATTTATACCAGAGATTTTATTTCTAATGTGTCTTTTCCTCTGGTTAGTGATTTTGATATATTTAAAATGGTTCACATACAGTGGTAAATCAGGTTAGTATACTGGTTACAAATTATACCAACTATTATCTATTCATTGTCTTCATGACGGCATTCATTCTAAGTTTTCTGTCTCAGTTTTTAATATATATACATAGATTATTCAAATTTGGTGTATGAAAGTGATTTTAAGATATTAATTTATCAGATGATCAATCGTATAGATATATATATGATATGAGTTACTACTAGTAATTCTGTGACAATTGAGTCGCAAATATTTTCTTTACGTTTTCACTAACATTTATTTAAATTTCAGGAAATATAAGCTTATCAATACTAATATTATTATAGTACTAACTTATTACTCTCGATTTTAATCTCGATTGTAATAAATTTATTATTCTCCTAAAAAGCATGTTATTTAAGTTTACATTTATGCTTTTAGGGGATCTTTTAACGGGCGCTGGATGTGCTCCCCAAATCCTAATCCTCTTTATCGACATGATGCTACTAAGTACTACTAAACCAGTGGAAGAGGATTGCGAAGCATACATGTTCAAAAATCAACAGACTGTACAAACAATTTTGCTAGTCATAGCCTTATCCTGCATACCTATAATGTTATTTGGACCACCTGGTTATATTTATTACGTTAATAAAAGGAAAACAAAAGAGATTATGGTAAGTAGAAGTTCTATGAGGTAAAAAATATTTAAACCTATGCAATATAAGAAGATATATAAGAATATTTGTCATCTAAATTATGATTTTGCTTCTGAGATCTGATCAGCCTTCGTTATTCTTTATTTTAGTTTGATAAATGATATTTTGTATTTATCATGTGAATTAAAAAATAAATCTAATCAAATATATACTTTAGGTAAGTATTATAAATATTTCTTGAATTAATACGGAACCTTTTTAATTGAGTGAATTAACAAAATTCTTTTCAGAAAACAGTTAGTAAATTTCGTGGCTATCAACATCGAGACTCGGATAAGCTGTCAGAAAATGATATCGTTGCGCAGTTGAAAAAATATCAAGTGAATTTCGGGGAACTCATGATTCACCAGGGCGTACATACTATTGAGTATGTTCTGAGTACAATATCGCATACAGCCTCATATCTACGACTATGGGCATTATCACTGGCTCATGCCCGTTAGTACTTATTTTTAAATATTTATTTGCAAACCTGAGTATATTGATATGAATGGAACAGATTCGTATGAAAGTGGCTCTTTTTGCATTCCCAAACAATAGACATTTTTAATATTAATACATATAATCATTAAAAAATACATTGCACATATTTCCAAGCTTCTGACACAAATCTATTTTCTTAAAGGTATAGTTTTTTTGCAATATACTTTTAATAACGCCCAAACTTAAAATTGAAATGAAATATAGTCGAATATCGAAATTTGGACGACTGCCGGTAATATAATACCTTAATCGTCAAACGTATGAGGCGTGCCACAGAGTCACAATATAAACATGATATCCACGGTGGATCTGTGGGCTGGCATATATCATCTTTATCCGTATACGGGTATATGGTAAACAGTGCACCTAGTAGTAGAACACTGCCATGTATATCAACTATTTCCTCACCTTATCTAATACATACAATCAAATGAATGGAAACTTAACGGTTTCATCAGACAGTACAGTAAACCAACAATCAATTAGTTCATCTTGATCATCAGTTGTCATGATATTCCAATACTCTGTATCTTCACTGCCTTTTCTTAGGTGCAACCGAATGCGAAACAACTCGGCGGCTGAAATAGGTGAAACAGACTTAACCATGTTTATGAATATATATATATATTTATATACTTATTTATTTTATTACAGTATTATATAATATTTATACAAAGGCTACCTCTACAAAATATACGGATGTAAATGATATATACAATAGTAATATACCTGTCACTTAAATAACTACTGCTCTATCTATATTTATAGACGTAAATTATTACTTACGGTTTTTTAACGTAACAAGTAACGTTATTTCTGTTACAGAACTATCAGAAATGTTGTGGATAATGATTTTCGCAAAATTAGCATTGAGTGATCACAGTATACTGGGATCAATAAAAGTATTTGTCGTATTCGCCATTTGGGCCATTTTCACTCTTTCTATATTGGTAATAATGGAAGGCCTTTCGGCGTTTCTTCATACACTTAGATTGCATTGGTGAGCATGCGAAATCATGTCAATGAGTAAAATTTTGTAAAGATTTGTTAAATTGCTTGATATAAAAAATGTTCTGATTATATCTTCCAGGGTCGAATTTATGAGTAAATTTTATTCTGGGGGCGGATGGCCATTTCGTCCTTTTTCTTTCAAGGGTTTAATGTCTGGAGAAGAAGAAAAAATTGATACCGTTTGTAAAAAAAGACAAACGTATCTTCAAGAATAACCACATCAGTTGATATAATTTGATGGCCATAATTAATTTAGGTTGCGTTTTTGTTGGATAAAAAATACGACTACTTGTATTAAGCAAGATTTTCCTATGTATTTAAATTGATAAACGAATCGGTAACTACTAATTATTGTTTGTTGAAGACAATACCAGTATAACACAGAGAAATAGGACATGCAGAATGAAGTCCAAACGAATGGACCGTATGAAGTCAGACAGTAAATCCCGGCAGCGGCTGTCAGCGCTGCTCGCATTAGACCGCTGACCCATTAAATAGACAGCATTTGCCGTTTCTAATTTCATTTGTTATTCGAAAAAAAAAACACACGGCTATTTATGACATATATATATTATTTTAAATTTAGAAACTAGTAGCGTACTTTACGCAATTTATTCCATACTTAAATGTAGTCACATATATTATTATAACTACATATGTACCTAAGTGAATTCCAACGTGAAACTAAACATAGTAGTATCACTTTAATTGAACGTAGTTATAAAAATATAAGTGTAATAAAAGGAAATGCACATAACTTTTAAAAATAAAATCTATTTCAATTTTACAAGTAAGTGTATATGTAATTAATGATATACATTAATTCATCAATATTTACCATATACTTAAAACTAAACTGTTGTTCGCCAATATTAAACATACTCTCTTTGAACACGACGGCCTCCACATACTTACATTACATGCTTTGTGTATGTTATAAACAATGCTTGCTAGTACAGCCTTTGTGTATCGGTATATTGCAAGGCAAATGCATCGCAACCTTCTCTCGGTCTGACCGCATACAGGAATAGAACGTTGTATCGAAATTATTCTCAATAGAAGGAATTTAAAATGGGATTTCCCCATATTGTTAGAGAGTACAAGTAAATTTTATGTTATCACAAATAAATTTGTAAACTTTTTAATGTTTTTTTATTTTTGTATAGGAGTTAATTATATATATTATGTGGTGTAACTAAAGAGTTACACCACATAATATATATAATTAATTTGCGAAGAATTTAAACATTTGATTCCATATGTATAAGGTGTCTATTATTTACAAATTTGTACCTAAAATATAATATAAATAAATATATACAACAGTTTCAATGATGTTTTTAGTTTTTCAGATATCTTGCAAATAGATATTTTACTATGTACATGTTTAAAAATGCATTATGTATTACAAACGTAATAAGATCGTGTACCAAATTAGATGCAAAATAATATTCATCTTTTTGTATTAGACAATGGATTTAAATTTGGACAAGAAAAATTCCGAATAATTTGCAAAACAGATTACTCCCTTTATACTTTTTTCTTCATTGTTTTTTCCGTATTATGTTGGTACTTTGTGCTCTATTCGTTTCTTTCGCTTTATTAATTGCAGAAATTAGTCAGTGCCGCATATAAATTATAGCTGCTTTTAACATTTGAATGGTAAAAGAATATTGATATTAATTAAGAATTCCAGCTTTATTTGTGTGTTTTATTACATATGCTTAGCAACCTTGGATTGACTTGGGAATATTTATTACATATTCTAGTCATTAGAGTAATGTTCGCCAACATATGTATATACATACTGCAATAAGGTCAGTCACTTTCACGAACGACGACGTTTCCTAGTATCTTCTTTTTAACTGTATTTCTGTAGAGGGAACCCGAGCCGGCTTTGCAAGGATGCAATTATTGTAGAAATTGAATGTAGATTTTTATCCGTGTAATAATAAAAATAAGAGTATACCTAGAAAGAGGCATATCTTTTTAATGGTCTTTAAAATTATCATCATCATCATCATCTTATTTATATGTGTAGTTTATACATATATATATATTATAAACGTCTGTATTTATTTTTATTAAGGTAGTCTATTTACACTTCGTACTTATAATGTACTTGAATTCGTCTGTCTAACATTAACTAAAAAAAATTAACCATAAATAATGTTCATTCTGTTTGTAATATAAAATGATGAAATCTCACTATTAGTTTAATTCTTATAAAATTAACGTTTACCACAGTATATAACTTGAAAATATAAACGGAAACTAAGTGGACCAAATTAGATGAAACGCAGAACAAAATATGGTTGAGAATGAAATAAACCCCACTGAAATGTAATCGATTACTCGTTGCCTAACGCTACCTTCTTCTGTTATTCTTCAGTCCCTAGGGTCCCTCAGGCAGTAGAATAATTTACTGTTTCCCAACTAAGTTTTGAGGTGGGCCGTATATCCCAAGGGTTACTGAGCCTATTTTCCCCTCGTACATTACAATTTCGAATTCCTTGAATAGTTTTTATGTTAACTATAAGTAGGCATATTGGTGAAGATAAATATAGACTTAAAAATTATCAATGATTAATTTTTTTAAGATTTATTACATACTACAATATGAATATTAACAGGGGAACCATTACTATGTTTCTGTTAAGTTCATTAATTTTTATGTGTATATATATATTAGGTTCTTATATATATAAGTGATTAATCAACTCGCTTGCTATGTAATAACAACCTAATATCATCTCACAACTTGGCGTGGGTTGGGGCTCTTCTAAGAGTAGGATTTAAATTACAAATGTATTAACAAACTAAATAGGTATATCATATAGAGGTTTATTTATTTCTTTTGTGTCCTCGCAACTATACAATTTGGTCGGCCTGTATGGAAAAGCAGCTACCAGTTTATATCGTATTTTCAATCCATGGCACATGTGCCCCTGGGACATTGAAATATATGCACAAAATTTCATCCAAGTCTATCCATCAATTTAGTTAAGGCCCTATTTAAGTGTTTGTTGTATGTTTTTAGGTTAAAAACATACAACAAACACGTGTAGTAAAATTATGGCTATATCTGATCATGTAAATACAATAATGCTTTAGTTGGCCTTAACATATTCTCCATGCGAGAACAAATGCAGTAGCGCTTCAAAACCGTGGAACAACATGATTTTGGTCTGAAGTCACTGCTGGAGTTCGAACGTCAGCTCAGGACGTCGTAATTTTAATTTCAGTTTGTAATGGGACAAGGGATCATTCGGAGGGTCACCACATGAATAAACAATGCTTACTGAAATTAACTCCATTAACTTGTAGTAATATATAATAATTATAATAAAATGCTGATATTTGATAAAATAATGATAATATTTAGGTAAAAGTAATAGATTTATAGTGAAATTATATTCTAATTCACTTAATTAAAGCTTCTCTATAACTTGCGTTACTATTCCTGGCATAACAATTAACAATATAGAAATCCGATGAGACTAAGTTAGCCTCGAGCACAAAGTACTAATGAATTCTCGATATTGTATTCTAAATCAATGCATTGTTCAATGTTCCTGGCATGTTTTACTTAGAACATACTAAGTTATTTCAAACTTGTTACCATATTCCTTTTTGATCCTGTCACAACAAACAAACTTCGAATCTCTAATACAATGATTCTAAGTTGAACGGCTTTGTGGGCTGCATTTCTGCAGTCCGTAATTTTACTAACCCACCAAGCCTTTGAACAGCAATAACTCTCTGATAGTCAAAGCTCCAAGTTTCTTGGATATTGTTATTTCTGAAACATAGCATTGTTGCTAATTTAGACCTTTTAAACATACTCTTAGACTGTGTCTTATAAAAAGACGTCTATAGATGAAAAATATTTACCTAAAATACAGAATATGAGGAAAAAGTACAGGGAAATTGCATGGAGTACATAGTCATAAGGGGTATTATAGAAAGGCGACACCGTTGTACCATCCATCATGCTTCTAAAGTCTATATACTATATAAGTCATACTCATTATTTTGTAAGACAGATGTGTTGTATGGTGGTTACCCGTAGTCCATGGTAAATAGACTTTTGTTGGTGATGAAAAAAGTAGATAATCTCTGAATAGCGTAATCTCTAGTGTGTTTTGAATAATTGTAAATATGTAAAACAAATACCTACCCATTCTGTTAAAAACATAATTACTATAAAGATTATAATGTGCAAATGTTTTACTAATAGTCTAATATTCATAGTTCCATAAATATTGCAGAATTTTAAAATAATTTCAAATCGAAATAAATTGTAAATACTTTTGATACCTTAAAAATTCATATTTTATTAGGATTAGTCTTTATTGAATGAATTCATTAAGCTTGCTGGAATTTTTACCTATTTATAATGCCACAGTAGATTATTGATATTTTTTTTTTATTCAGTATGACATAAGCTACCTACTGTTTAAAGCACTCATAAAATTGATGAATATTTGAAGCAACAATTGTTTTAATTTTTATTTATCGCACGTCGTTGTATTCTTAAGTACAAAGATAGATACCGATGGTTGGCAATATTAAATTTTATTATATACATATTAAAAGGTTTTAAAAGGTCCGGACATTAATAATTATAATGATAAACATTTTAAAGTAGATATGTAGTTGTAGAGAAGCTTTACAAAAATATAATCAACAAAATGTGTCTAAATTTACGAAAATAGACGACATTCTCATTTCATATATATTTTATAAAATGAAATAAACCAAATAAAAATTCCGTTCACTAAATCAGTTAAAAAGTAGAAAAATAAACGGATGGTTGTGAGTACTTTAAATATAAATATATGAGCACCGATATTTTGGGAAGGTAGACCAACATAATCAGTGAACAGAATGTGGCGGTAGTGTTTCCCCCGGAAATGTTGATACGCTTCCGCGAATGGTAGGGGCCCGCAGGGCTACCAACATCTTTTATTTGTCATAATGTGTATATAAAATAATCAATTTTTAAAGTGAATACATCAAAATGTTATCTCATAGCAAAACATTATTAAACAGTTTTACTTATTTTTGAATTATTTACCATCATTATCATCGGCCCATCGCAGTCTACTGCTTGATATTGGCTTCTCCCAAGGCATACCACTGAGCACGATCTTCAGCCCTTTTCTTCCAGTTATTATCCGCAACCCTACGTATTTCTTCGCTCCATCAAGCTGCAGGGCGTCCTACGCTATATTTTTAAATTCGCGGTCTTCATTCCAGAACACGTCTACTCCAGCGACCAGCGGTTGTTCTGTGATAGCTATGACCAACGCACTGCCACTTCAACTTGTAAATACTAAGAGCTATTATTTGTTTTGCATATTATTATGGAATGAAAATTATGGACTAGATTTACAGGAATTTCATGTTAATTCAATTGTTGATAATGATTGATATGTTACTAATTAATATTATTGTTATACATTAAGTCTATTTTCAGATATCAAAAAATATTAAAGAATGACTGCAATAAAGTAAAACGATTAAATGAGAGGTACTACAAAATATGCAAGATTTTATTTTAATCAATAATAAGAATTATAGAATCGATTCACATAACACCAGGATGAGTTTTACTAATTAGTTTCCTTAATTAGTGCAGTTTAAAATATATATATTACACAAGTTCAGTCAGTTTAGATAAAATATATACATACATATATTAATATAAAATGATCCTAGTGACAACCTTAAAGTTCGTAGGAGTACTGCATATTCGGGAACTGTAAGCGGCCCTGGCCGTCGCCTTATCGCCTTCAATTTCCTCTCGGAACTATCAACTATATGAATTTACTTTATCGTCTACACGTGAATTAAGCTTTTGTGTACTTTGTGCAAATACAATAACTGTTTAAATTATAATATAATATGCCTATTATATTATTAAATAGATTTACAACTAGATGCACACCCGGCTATTATAAGTGCGCTAATAAAGAAAATGAACTCAAGTCGTCTTACTATTTGTACGTCAATCTGTCAATTCTGCCAATATTTATTTAAATAGAGTTATTTCAAATGCTTCTATAAGAGATTTTTAATATTTTCTTTCATAGAAACCTTGATAAGCAAATAAA